CACCGGCCAGCCCTTCACCAGGCCCGGCTCCCGCACCCCTTTCCTTATCCTCCCCTTCCTTCGCTGGGGCTCCCCCCACACTATGTCCATCTCTTTTTGTCTTCCTGTTTCTTTAGATCCTACCAAAGCTAGACCTTCTCTCCCCAAACTGCTGGACAGCCCCGGCTGGTCGGTGAGCATCTGCTACCCCTCTGTAGGTCGGGCAGAGCGGAGAGTGGAGTCATGGAGGTGCTTGCTCAGGGCGAGTGCTCCAGGCAGAGTAGAGTCCAAACCCCCGAGAAGAAGCTTTAGAGTGAGTCAACACGCTCTTACATCAGCAGACAGCTCATCTGATCCTTGACTTGTGGCAAGACGCAGGCTGGGTTTTTCAGGAAAGATCAGCTCCCTTTTAGTTCCCTGAAGGCGGCGTGCACAGAGGTGTACAGGCAGCTGCACACTCTCCATCAGAAGGCCAAACTGGCTAGCCTTGGTCCAGAAGCTGTGTAGCAGTGTTAGCACAACACTGTGCCCAATTCACTGAGCCTCAGCATCGCTTTTTTTCCTTGGCGCCTAAATGGCAGCTGAACTCTTCTAATAATCTGACCCAATCTCCTTTTAAAATAGAAGGTAATAAAGGGTGGAGTTTGTTCAGCATGCTGAGCTCCAGCTCTGGGGATTGTCCAAGAGGCAGCTGGAGCAATTTCTTTCACTGTGTTCATAAAATATTTTAATGTACCCAATTTAAAAGCAAATAAATTGTGTTCACCACAAGGTGCAGTCCTCCTCCTGGCCGTTTTCACATTTATTCATATACTGCATGGCTCAGAAATCCACCCAGGTCCCAGAACAGCATTAAACTTCTAAGGCCTGGTGCTGAGAAGGACAGAATACCTGCAAGTCTTGTTCCTGTCCATGAGGATTGGGCTTTAAATCTCCCCAAATCAATACCTTAAACAGCTCAGACTTCTGCAATTATGTTGATGGGAATATTAAAATCTGTGTCAAAGGATGACACTGCAATCCTGCAAATTTAAGCTGATAGGTTTTTTTTGTTGGATGTGGTGGTTTTTTTAATAGATTATGAAGCAAGCAATATAAGAAACAGGTTTTACAACTTGTTTTAAATATAAGCTTACTTCTCCTTTCACTCATGTCTTCCTTCAGGCTTTTTTTATTGCTTTCTGATAAAATCTGCAAAAATAGGAATTGTTTGTGTTTTTCCCTTTTTAAAGTTTCAGATGCAAATGTCTAAGCGCATGGTTTTTCAAATCTCCTGTTTCTTTTGTATGTTTGAGTACTAAAGACAGACCTGTCTTCAAACCCAATTGACGGTTTTGCCTGACCTCAATATTTTATTTGTGGCATTAACTAAGCACCTTCATAACAGTCTTAGAGACTGTTGAAAAGAGAGGCTAGACTGGGCCTTTGAACTTTGGCAACCAAACTCAGAGCTATGGAGTTCAGAGGAAGTTTGGGACAAATTGTTGGGGCAAAGGGTGAAAACACGTTAACCGCTGCCCATTCTGCACAATGTCCTCTGCATGAGACCTTGTTCTGTTGGTCCTGTACCTATCATTACTACCATGTCCATACACAATAAACACAAACATACATGTGCTTTAGTCCTCCTGCCTGTAGTTCAGCAAGACTGAACCAGGTTAGTATTTGGATAGGAGACCTTCCAGGAGAGTTTAGTTGCTGTAGGAAATAGTGTTCACTTACTGAGTAATATTTTTCCAATACTGAAGTCAGTCTTGAATCTTCTGGTTCTGGGGATGATAAGCTGTAGAAATTCCAGCTTTGAGTTGAATAAAAGCAAGTTCTTGAGCATTTTTGGTCATGATGGAGCTTTTGGCAGTTTACTGCAGAGTAGGAGAGTATCCTGGCCGAATTCCAACCTGGGTGATTACATTCAACTGACTGAAAATGAGCAGTGGCGATTGCTGCATTTCACTGTTGGGCAAAGTGATTTCCACACATAGGCTTAAATTTGTAAAGTGACTTAGGGTAAAGCAGAATGAAAGGAACTTACAGAAATGTCCCTTTAACCCTCATAGCTTATTCTTGAAGGCCTTGTGAGGCTTGTCAGTCTGCTGTCACATTCCTCTAAATGCCAGTGATCCAGCTGCTGGAGCATTGCTTGGAATGGCTGTACCACATCACAAGATGGTCTTCAGAACAGTGATGCTTTTTATAATGCACGTACGCATTCCCACACATCAAGCAAGGAAACAAACAGAATGGGAGAAAAAGAAAGAATGAAAGAACACTCAAAAATTTTCTTTGTTAGAAATTAAAATACTATGACAGTGTTGTTCAGGCTGATCCGTGGTTGGTGTTTTGTTTTCAAAAAGGCTAAGTGATCCTTTGATTCAAAAAGGTAGAGAAACACTGATGTAAGATATAGAAGGCAACATGGAAGTGTATATCCTGTGATATATGTACCCCAATGCATAATAATTTTTTTCTCTCCCTGACTTTCCC